TTATTCAAAGTACATGTTATGAAGACATGAATTGGTGTGAACATACCTCACATACAACCAGAGGTATGAAAAACTGTGCCATATATGTGTAATAAGAATTGTAATGCATTCCGCTGTCACTTATTTTTTAAAATCAATTAAAAGTGGAGCCCTAAAAGCAAATTGTTTGGTAAATTGCATAAAATCCAGGACATCCATAAAGGAAATAGTAAAGAATATTCATTCTTTAAAAAATAAAAATAAGTAAAATAGACCTTATAGTACTGAATTATAGCCATAAGAGAAAGTAAATATTCCAGAGTTTGAGTTGATAACTGAATACATGAATAAATGAGGGATGAGGGAGAATTCTCTTACGGAAGACTTCAGAGGAAGAAGGATGTAAAGTGACCATGAGGAAAGCATGGCTGTTGCCACCCAGCCTTCCTAGGTGCCCAGCAGATGGGTGAAAGACTAGAGCAACCCATCTGTCAGCAGTACCCCAGGGCACCTTTCATCCCAAGGAGCAGTCGACAGCTCTGTATGGCAGTGCCACCTCGCCAACTCCCAGGGCTGGCGGCACACATGTGGCTGGGAACCACCAGTCGCCTGTGCCATTCTTCCCAGGAAAGAACACCAGCCAGGCTGATAAACTCCGCAGAGTAACTGACCATACTGAAATTGTCATGGCACAGGGTTGGGTCATCCAGAGGCAGGGTAGGTCCTGGGGACTCCCTGGGGACTGATGGGAGACCAGCGAGTAATGCCACAGCTGAGTTGGTGGCATTTCCTGGCTTTGGTCCTGGCTCCATGGCTGTGTGACAGTAGGGGAGGCTGGATGCAAACCCAGGACCACTCGTTCTGGAAATCTGAATGGCTTGCTAGTCCTCACCAAGGGCACATACAGGCAGGACAGAGGTAAGAAGCAGTGTCACAGGCATGCGAGCTGTGCTGCCAGGAGCCCTGGGGTACCCAGGGGCCTGAGTACCCCCAGAATCTGCAGAGGAGCTGTTTAGGAGTAGGAGGCAGAAACATGAGGTTCATTATAGGGCAGATTCTCTGAGCCCCACTAAAAACACTCTTATCCCGCTGTGTGTGAATTGTGCATCTAATCCCTTTGGGCTTTGTCCTGGGTGTGAGCAGGAACAGGTAGCATCCCGCTGTTATACCTACTGGCTCCCCTGTCTTTTCAGCAGTGTGGAAGGTCTCATTGTCCTCTGTCAAATTTCCCTAGGTGGCTGGGACTGCCTGGTCTCTGTTCTGACAGACTGCCCCTCTGTCGCTTCTCTGCATTGCGGGAACCCTGAAGAAACTCCTGGCAGTTTAGACCTGGGGTGGCCAGAGGACTCTGGGAATGAGCTCCACGGTCAATTTGTCTAACTCTAAGAAAAAATAGCCATCTTATTGGAATAGCATTAAATTTATGCACATATATTTTCTTAAATAATACTTCATCTACTTCTAGCTTATTTACTTCATAAGTTATCAGCTAGCATTTATGATTCTCCTCTCATCGTTGATGCTGTCATGTATCTGTACTTTATTTTTTCCCTAACATATCTAGTTTTTGTTCTTCTTGACTGTTTTCTGCAGATAAATAGTTTTTAGATTACTTTTTTATTTCTAGTCTTTTTTAAAAAAACTTTTTTTCTTTTTTTTAATTTACTTTTTTTAGTTTTTAGGTGGACACAATATCTTCATTTTACATTTACATGGTGTTGAGGATCGAACCTAGTGCCTCGTTTGTGCTAGGCAAGCGCTCTACCTCTGAGCCACAACCCCAGCCCCTAGTCTTATTTTAAATCTGCTTTTATCTTTAATAATTCTTTCCCTTCTTTTCATTAACATTCACGAGTTTTTAAATTATATGTTTAAATAATTTATTCTCATTATTTATATATAGACATTTGGTGCTATAGTTTTCTGTGCTCACTGTTTTTCTTAGGTCCATATGCATTTCCCCAAACTTTTTTTTTTTAATATTTTTTTATGATAGATGGATATGATATCTTTATTTTATTGCTTTATGTGGTGCTGAGGATCGAACCCAGTGCCTCACACAGGCTTGGTAAGTGCTCTACCAACTGAGCTGCAACCCTAGCCTTCCCCAACCTGTTGTGGCTGAATTTTACATTCAGTTGTGATGTTTGAGTTTGCTCTGTGAGTCAGTCTTAAGCTCTTTTCCTTATGACAGGTGGGAGGAGCTGTTGAACACCCTGCTCTGTTTGGCCTCTGGTCTCAGGTTAATGCTTTTTATGTGTTACACATGCCCACGTCTGCATGTCTCTCTCTGCACATAACATGTGCCTATGTCTGCATCTTTCTGCACGTAATGTTGCCCAAGCCTGCATATCTCTGCATGAAATGTGCCCACCCCTACATCTCTGGGTTTGTCTGTCTGCATCTTTCCACCTGTAACATGTGTCTATGCCTGCGTCTCTGTGCATAATGTGTATGTACATCTGTGTATGTGTACATAACATGTTTGTGTGTCTGCACACCTGTGTCTACATCTCAGTGTGCAGCATGTATCTACATCTGCATCTCTCTTTGTATGTATATTTTTTAACATCACAAGTAACTGGAGGCTGCCTATCACACTGTGTTCTAAGTATTTGCTTTTGCTGTTTTGGCAGTTAGGGTGGCTGTTCTTCTAATGTTTGTGCTGATGTCCATATGTCCTGCCCTTAGTTCCTTGGTTTTGGAACCTCCTCTTGGCTGCTGACAGACCATGGTATTGCAGTCATCTGGTAGCCCCCTCTCCCCACATCTTTTCCAAAGTGGCCTTGTCCCCTTTGTGCCTGGTTGGCATCTGATACATCCCCCCACACCACTGGGTTGTTTGTCTGTCTGTTGCTTATCTGAGCAGAGCCACTGCCTGTTACACCTTTGTCACCACCAGGTTCTGTGGTCTCGGCCTATTAGCTTGGCCTTCGAGCCTGTCACAGCACTGCTTGTTTGCATGCTCAGGAAAGCCTGGCCTGTACCCTGGACAGTTTTTGATTCAGATTTTAAATCTTTGGCTCCCATGTTTCCCTTGGATATCTTACCTACATTACTGAGCCTGGGGACCTACAGAACTGCCAACTAGTTCAGGTTGCTCATCCCCATTCCATGGACGTACCTGCTCGAGGCGGGAGAAGTTTATAGACCCCGCAGCAATGGTGACAGGCCGCTGTGATCCGGGGAGCTTCTGTCCATGCAGGTGAAATGGTCCAGGGGGCAAGGTCCGGCACCTCATGGGAAGTCGGGAGTGAGGGCCGCACTGCCTGCCCTGTACATATGTGATGCTTTAATGGCTTCCTCCTCTGATGTCAATGCAGAGTCCCCTTGGAAGCTCACAGTGTTCTCCTCCGGCTGATGGTCTGGTGTGCAGTACAGTGAGTGTGTCGGGTCCTGAATCTGCTCCTGGCCCCTTACCTCTATTCCACGCACCCTGGCTCTTTCGCCTTCCTGCCACATAACAAGTGCCCTTAGGTTCCTAGACTGCATGTGAGAAAAGAAGTATGAATCTAAAAAAATAGGTTTCGCTTTGCTCTTTCTTTTGAACTTATAGAAAATTGGACTTTTTCTTTTGGAATATCTTTTTTAAATATTTTTTTAGTTGTTGATAGACCTTTATTTTATTTATTTATATGAGGTGCTGAGAATCTAACCCCGTGCCTCACATATGCCAGACAAGTGCACTACTGCTGAGCCATAGCCCCAGCCCTTAGAATATCTTTTTACATACAATACAACGGCAACAAAGTAGCATTATATTAGGAAAATGAATGATGCGAGCCTTTGCCTTCAAAGAAAGTATCAGACGGCTGCTTATTGCTTGGTCTCCCCTGTGGGTGGCAGGTGTCTGGCACAGCACACTTTCAAGATCAGAGTCAGCCTGAGAGTTTTCCAGGGCCCATGACTTCAGCCCAGTGGCTTGAAACATCAGAGATTACCTGTGCTCACAGGTTCAGAGCCAGAGTCCCAAATCAGGGGCCAGGCAGAGCTGGTCCTCTCAGGCTCTGGAGAGCACCACCCACACCTCCTTTGTCTTGGCTGGTGGAAACACCACCCCGTTCTCCACCTTGGCTGTCACATGCCTCTCCCTGTGCAGCTGTTTTCTGCTCAAGAACATACCAGTGCTTGGCCAGTCCAAGAGAGCCTCGTCTCAGTGTCCTTCCCTGAAAAGATCTGTTTTCTAAATAGAGTCACACAGCTTAGATGTCTTTGGAGGAGCCATCATCCAAAGTATTTCAATCAGTTTATGAGATTCTGACTTCAAGAAGTCTCCCCTTCTGTGTCAAACCCTAGGAGGGTAAAAAGATGACTCTCTTGTGCACTGTGGACAGAACATGTTCCAAATGTCACAGCACCCCCAACCCCCAGCTGTATTTAGGGGCCGTCGAGGAGGTGAGTTTGTGAGCGTGCATCCTGATCCTGGGACTGTCCTTGTAGGAAGCAGAAGAGGAAGAGCCTGTGGGGACACAGGAGAAGGCTTGCCTGAAAACCGGGGAGGGATGAGGGAGCCCTCCGACACCCTCATCCGGGACCCCAGGCTCTGTTTCTGGTAGGAAGAATCTATGTTCTTGAGAAATGGGGGCTACGCTCCCTGAAAGGGTCTGAGACACAGGAAGCAGTAGGCCCCATGGCCAGGGTCAGGCCAGGCCCCAGGAGTGGGGGTGTTCAGAGTTTAGGAGGCACAAGGTACTGGTCAGCAGCACCCGGATCCAGTAGTAGTCACAACAGGACTGTTAGTGCCACCAGACTCACACAGACCCTGTCCTGTCTGGGGCACACTGGGATGTTCGGAGCAGGTGGGCAGAGAGCAGAGGGAGAGAGCTGGCCTCTGTGGAGGCGAACTGCCCACCCACATCAAGCTCTCTTTCATAGACAGCTCAAGGGAAAAAGAGGAGTCTACAAGTTCAGCTGATTCAGGGGTGAGTTCAGCCAGGGATTCTCTTCATTTCACACTCTTGCATTGTTTGCAAGAATGTTAATCTTGGTAATGTTTTTTAATAGCAGCAAAAGTTTTATTTCATGTATATATATATATATATATTTTTTTAATTGGGTATTGAAGATTGAACCTGGAGGATACACTGAGCCACCTCCTCAGCCCTTTTTATGTTTTATTTTGAGATCGGGTCTTGCTAATTTGCTCAGGGCCTTGCTTAATTGCTGAGGTTAGGCTCGTACTTGCAGTCCTCCTGCCTTAGCCTCCCGAGCTGCTGAGGTCACAGGTGTTTGTGATCTATCTTACCACAGTGAGTTGCGAACTGCTACACCCAACTGGTCACTGTAGAAACCGGAGGTTCCCCTCCTGTCATCTTCTACGCAGGTAGAGAGTGAAGGCAGTTTGGAGAGATGGCCTAAGCCGCATGTCACAGAATGGCCGTGAAGCCAAAGACCTGTTACCACCTTTTCAGGAAATGTCACCTGAGAGAACACATGCTTCCTGAAATGTCCCTGTTAGAACCTGTGGCCGAGGGAAGTGTTAGGTCACATGGGGTGCAGTGAAGCACTGCTCACTCCTGGAACTGGGCTGCAGGAACGAGCTGCTGAGTGCTGAGCTCTGTGCTTCCTCCTGGGAGCCGTCTATTGATTTGTCTGCACTGGGGAAAGTTGTGCCCCATGGTTTATAGAACAACCCTGAAGGATTGTTGCTCTGAGTGTGCTCCTAAGGAGAAGGTGAGGGCCTGTGGGTGCAGGAGGGGGAGCTGCCAGCTCAGGCATGCAGATGAACGTGCAACTGTCCTGGGGTTCTTGCAAGTGTGTGAGCCTGTGTTGTCCACTCATGATATTGTGTGAGGTCGCATGGATCAGCCCTTCCTCCTGCCCAGCACACCCCCTGGACGATCTGGACAGGACAAGTCAAGCATGCTGCCCCCTCCCATGTGGCAAGATACACACTACGTAAAGTTTACCCCTCAGCCACGTCTAGGCATTCAGTTCAGGGGCATGGCACAAGGACAGCCACATTGCTGTGCTCCTGTCACACCTCCACCTCCAGAGCCCTTCATCTCCCCAAACCGATACTCTGTGCCCACTAAACACCAACTCCTGTCCCTCCTTCAGCTCTCAGTACCCCATCCTACCCTCTGCCTCTATGATTTAATGACTAAGCACCTCGCGAGGTGAAAACAGGTGGCGTCTGTTCTGTACTGGCTTGTCTGCCCAGCACAATTGTAGCATGTCAGTATCCCCTTTTTTGGGTACTTAACCACTGAGCCACATCCCCAGCCCTCTGTCACTTTTTAAGGCTGAGTAATAGTCCACTGTGTGGACTTGCCATCTTTTGTTTATTCAATGTTTGTCAGTGGGCATGTGGATTGCTTTTTTCTGTTTTTGGACAGTAGCCCTTCTGAATGTAAGGTAATATCTAATTGTGATGCTGAACATGTTTTCATGTGTTTATTGGCCATTCGTATTTCTTCTTGAGAAAAATATTGAAGTCCTTTTTCTATTTTTTAATTGAGTTGTTGGGTTTTGTTTGTTGAAGCTTCCTTGGTTTTTTAAGCCAGGGTAGGTGATATTTATTGCTCATAAAGCTAAAGGCCATAAGAAGAGGAAGTGTTTGCTATGTGCATGCAGAGTGAACGACCTGTGCAACATTAAGTACTGCCCTCCTAGTATTTATGCAATTGTAGGTTAGTTTTAGAGGCAGCATATTTGTTTCCCACTTCTACATTTTAGTTAACCTGACAGTATAACACCCACTCCCCAAAATCATGGCCTTTTACCCCTTGTTTTCAATACTTTATGAATATGGAAACTAAGTGTAGTTTCTCCAGACTGGCTACTTCTCTTGGATATCACTGTAGGGCTCCGGGCCTAACCCCAAAGTCCTCTGAGCCCTGCCGTGCCCACAGTGCCAAGGAGGTGCCCCTGCAGGGCCCACTGGTGTGGCATCGCCAGGTGATGGAAGGCAGGTCACTGCAGGCAGCCAGGAACAAGGCGGATTTTTTCCTCTGTGGAAGTGGCCTCCCACCTGTGGGCAGGTTAAATCTGGCTGTAGGACTTGTGCTGCCCTGTGCTGGGGTGTACGAGGTGTGCCTCCCCTGGCGGGAGGCCTGGTCAGCCACCCTTTTCTGCCTCCTGCTTGTTTTTATGGCACTATTTCTGGAGAGCAGTGAATTTCTGCTTTTCCTCTGGTGTGTTTGTGACTTTAGCTGGAAAACCTTTTGTGGTTCAAAATTGTCTCCGTTCAGTATTTGAATCAGTGACACCAGCTAGCGTAGGATGAGGTGCCGGGGAGGCAGCGGGCAGGCGCACTTTGTCCAGGGCTGCCTGTGCTGACAGTGGTGAGCAGATTCAGGGGGAAGCCAGCACTGGTGAGTGAAAGGGACCTCTTCACAGTTCTCTCCCGGGACACGGGAGGGCAAGGAGGCAGTGCTGGCTTGGCTCTGAGTGCTTCCCTGCCTCCACCCGCCAGCTCCTCCCCACAGTGCATCCTCTGCACTTCCAGGCCAAGAATAGCCTCGGTGCTCAGTGTGTTGAAAATAGAAATCTCAAGCATCCTGAGTGCTGATGATGTGGATTGCAGTTTGTGTTTTTTCTCACTACAGTGGAGAAACTTTCTGAAGAATAGGTGTGTGCATTGCTTAGTTATTTATTGCCTTGTGGTTTTATTTCCTTATTTCATAAAAAAGGAGAAGTATTAGAAAGTTTCAGAATATTTTAGAGGTTAAAATGTCTGTTTCTTCTGGTTTGGTTGGTGCTTATCAAGCAAACGTTCCACAGGCTGACTAGCCTCAGTTATGTCTTTAGGATGAGGGGACGGCAGGGATGCTGACCTTGCTACATGTGTCAGGGTGCAACTGACACATCTGTGGTCAGCAGATCAGGCATTACATGGCCACAAAATTCATGGTTTTGTGTCTGGTCTCTGTTTTGATGGAGCATTTTGATGTCTCAGACTGCCTTGACTGAACGTCTCAGAACCCTTGGGAGATTCTAATGCATGTAACATTCTCGAAGAACCCGGGCACATCCCTGATTTCTCAAAGTGAAAACAGAATATTAGACCTTACCCTGGTACATTGAAGCTCATGATTTATCTCTGATTTAACATGATTTTTATTTTGGTGTCTGAATTGCAAATCAGATACTTATTATGTGGTTTATAAAAAAAGCCAAGTAGAGGTCTCTCTGGGAAAATATTTTAATAAAATGTATCTTTAGGGGCTGGGGATGTGGCTCAAGCGGTAACACACTCGCCTGGCATGCGCCAGGCACTGGGTTCGATCCTCAGCACCACATAAAAATAAAAAAAATAACGATGTTGTGTTCACCGAAAACTAAAAAATAAATATTAAAAAAATTTTCTCTCTCTATCTCTCTCTCTCTCTCTTTTAAAAAAATGTATCTTTATTTCAGTATGTTAAATAGTGAAGATGAAGAGATATTCAATAATGAAGAATGTGAATATGCGTCCAAAAAAAGGAAAAAGGACCATTTCAGAAATGACACAAATACTCAAAGTAAGATCATTTTCCACAATACTACGATGTTGTGCTTGTTGAGTATGTTGATATGCCTGATTGCTTTGGCTGTGCTACCTTTTAAAAATAAGCAGTGCTATGGGTGTGTCAGCAAGCACTCTGTCCAGTGTTGCCTGCTGAGTTAGTGATCAGACGTTGTGTATCTCAATCGTTTGAATTTTAGGGTTCATACAGACAGAAGATGGCAAAACCCACAACGCTGCCCCCCATCCTGAGGGTGGTCACCGTTGAGTCCATTCCTGAGCAGGGAAGCCAGCAGAGAAGGGGAGGAGCTGGAGTTTGGGACGCGGGAGGCTGCGCAGGTAGAAGGGCACAGGAAGGTGGCGGAACTCTCCTGGCAGCCTCCAGCGTAGTCTCTGACACCTCTCCGGTGTGAGCAGGCAGGCAGGCAGGGAGAGGCTTTTGTTTGTGGAACACAGAGGCGTCCAGGTGCAGAAGGAGGGTTGAATGTGTAGTTCCTCGTTATTCACGCTCCGATGTCCCTGCAGCCATCACTAGCACTAGTTTTCTCTCCAGCTGCTGAGATGGGGGTCACCTGATGTCATTTCCACTGCGGTCTCTCAGCACCCTCAGCCCTTCAGGGACAAGGCATTTCAGTTTCCCTTGCCCCACGGAAAGCACCTTTGTTCCTATAATGCAGCCAGTAACTTAGTTACATGTCCACTGCTGAGGTTCCTTTAAGATCTTCATCTTGAAATAACTTGCATATTTTAAAAACAGAGTTAATTTTTATTTCAGGTTTTTATCGTGAAAAATGGATCTATGTCCATAAAGAAAGCACAAAAGAAGTAAGTATTTTATTATAAATAGGAGCCTATCCCGCATAGCCTCTGTTGAATATGTAATGTCACCTTAAAGAAGTTATTGTTTTTGAATATCAGGTTTGTGATTCACATTCTGATAGGTGTGTATATGTGAGTAGCGTCTGAAGCGATGATCACAGTTGTGTGCGTGTGCATAGGTATGACTGTGGGTTGTGAATGTGTGCATGTGCACATATGTGGGTGTGTTTGTAGTGCATATTCTACCTGAATGTGTGTGTTGTGTGTGCATATATGCATTGTGTGTTGTGTATGTTTTGTCATGCATCTGATATATGGGATGTGGGGTGTGTGTGTATATATATATATATATGTGATGTGTGGTGTGTGCAGATGTGTGGTGTGTGCATATGTGTGGTATTTGTGGTATTTGCTCTGCATATTTGTTTCGTGTGCATGCGTGGTGTGTGTGTGTCTGCGCACACACTGCATGATCCCCTGTACATCTCTGAACCCACGGTGGTTATTTCAGACCAGGTTGTGAGGTATATTCTGTTGGTGGGAGCCATGGCTACAGGTGAGGATGCTCCTTGCTCTGATGTGTGTGTGTTGGAGTGAGGGTGACCATTGAGCCCCTCATTTTGTGTGGAGACTGACTCCTATGGAATTGCTCTCGACTGGAGCAGCAGAGCAGTTGGAATGCTTGCCAGCCTTTGATTTCCAGGTCAGCAAAGCTTCCTTAAGAGCCATCAAGCCCTCATTAGCTTCCAGCTCCGTTTCCTTTCTCTCTCCTTAGTGCCAAGGAAGCCTGGCCCTTATTTACCCCTCTCAAAACTTTGCATTTGCTTCCACTCACAGCAGTTGGGGAAAGTAATTCGGGGAGGAATTATTTAACATGGTAAAAGTTAGGATAAGTTAAGTGTCCTGGAAGTGTTAACAGTGGATATCTTTAAACTAGCCCAGCAGCCTAGAAACTTAGGGATTAGATTCTGAGAAAGAAAACTATTGACCTATTTGGTGGTGGTTAGTATTGTTAAATGGGTATAACATGACTCTAGTTCTTAACACGTACTCTGGGACGCCATGGGAAGATTGACAGAATCTAACCTTGTTTTGTACAAAACAAGGTGTGGAGCTTGTAAAAGACGATTCAGTATTTCACCTTCTGTGTGTTACTGCACAAATCACAACTAGAATTTGTCTTCAGGCAACAGGGATGTCCAGGAGTCCTTGGTTAGTGTCTAATGAGCTTGGGATTGCTCAGGACTGGCACTGGAAGCTAATAGGTCCTCATCCCCCCACACACCTTCCTACTTATACCTGGTATACACCCGCGTGGCCTGCAAAGGCAAGCACACTTGTGTGGTTCACTCTGAACCAGACCCATTCCTGTTGTGGGATGATAGCTGTCTGGAAGAGGTGTCTGCACCAACATTTAGAATTTCATTCATTCAAAAAAGAAGAAATTAAGACTGTAAGCTGGGATGTATCTGATGTATTAGGTTGCAGTCTGTATCTGTTTATGCTTGGCTTCACCATACAATGGAAATGCTCTAGGAAAGCATTCTGCACAAGAGGTGCTCAGTGGACACGTATGTTGACTGTTTCAGATAAGCGTGGGGTTGGTCTCTGCACACATTAGGACTATCCTTGGCGTGGACACACAACCAGGAGTGCCTCCAAGGCCGTATCTGAGACCAGCAGACATTCTGCTGCCCCAGCTGCCCCCAGTCCAGCCCCACTGGCCTGTTTGGAATCTGGGGAGTCATCTGTCACTTTTTATAGTTCCTGTCATTGTCCTCCAGTTTACATGTCCCCACAACTCTGAATTACAACCCTACTTATAGACATTAGGTATTTGAAACAAAGGTGGAGTTCAGAAGCACTGCTGAGCCTCAAGTGAGTTCTGCAGACTGGGGAGTACAAGGTGCTCCATTAAGGGAGGTCTGCAGGGTAGGATAGTACTCTTCAGTTAGACCTTTGACCTCATTACCAGCACCCATACCCCTGTCTTGGAAACTTGCCATCCTCAGGTCCACCACATGCCTTCAGACCTCTCACCCACAGCCAGGGGGCCCTCGGAGCCTTGCGCCTTGTGACTGAGCCTCCTGGTGCATGGTGTGTAGGAGTTTGGGACCCACCTTACCATAGCACACTCCCAGCCCTGGGCAGTGCAGACCCCCTGCAGGGGAATCCTTCTCTAGCATGTGCAATGCCAGCATCCTTGGGCCTACTTGTATCTGCCCTACCTGTCCATAGCAGAAGAAGACAGCCAGGGGCTGGGATTGTGGCTCAGTGGTAGAGCGCTTGCCTAACAGTGTGAGGCACTGGGTTCGATTCTCATTACTGCATATAAATGGATAACATTTTTAAAAAATTTAAAAAAGAACCCACTGAGGGATTCTGTAAATACATATGGAAGAAATCTTCTGTATGAAAGCAGATGTACTTTGCATCAACTTTAAAACATGTCCACCTGGCCAGGCAGCCATTGATTGTTGACTGTGCTGACCACTGACTAATCTCACTCCACTGCTTTTCAGAGGCACGGCTACTGCACTCTAGGGGAGGCGTTCAACCGCCTGGACTTCTCCAGTGCCATCCAGGATATCCGGAGGTTTACATACGTGGTCAAAGTAAGTTTTCTATCTCAAAAATAGCTTTGCTAAGTCTGGGACGCGGCTCAGTGGGAGAGCACTTGCCTAGCGTACACTAGGCCCTGGGTTCAATCCCAGTACTATAGAAGGAGAAAAAAAAATGCTTTGATGATTCTTTCATACCTGTTTTGAAGATGATGAATATGAGTACCCAAGATGCTTCTTGCAGCTGCAGTGGTCTTCCCACTGGCTGTAGGAGGCATATTCAGGAAGGAACACAGGAGTCAGGGACCTCCCTCCCGCAGGCTATCCCTGCCACCCTGGGCTCTGAGTTCCCAGGGGCCACACCTTAGCTTTAGTTACTGGGAAAGCAGGCTTTCTCCAGCACGTCCTGCTATGCCTGCAGATGGGTCATGAGGCAGGACATCAGAGACGGTGTGTTTGGTCAAGCCTCTAACCCTTCTTTGCTATGCATGATTGTATTTTCCCCTTTGGTCTTACTGTAGGTAGAGTTGGTCACTCTTGTCTTCATTCAGACTTTTCAACCCTGGGAATCACTCCCCAGTCTTTTTAGCCCTGAGATCTCGTCCCTGTCTCCCAGTTTCTCAGATCTGTTCAGTAATGAGGTTGGAAACCTAGAAAGACACCGTGGGCCAAGGCATCTGGTATTATGAGGTTTTAAAGACATTTCACCTCTCTGCTGAGGACGGCTTAGTAGCCTCAGCCTCCTTGGCTGTGCGTGTGAGGACGCAGAGGCCGAGCACCTGTGGAGGACCGCTCAGGGGAGCGGCTCCACTCCTCTGCTAAGGGACCTCAAAGTGATTGAGCCTCCTTGTGCCTGGTGTGTGGGAGTTTGGGACCCACCTTAAGGGCTGCTGCTACTCCCTCGTCTTCTGGCTTCTCTTGAGGTGGCGGTGGGCAAGGACTAGGCTGCACATAGTAGGTCCTTCACCATCAGGACGCAGGGTGAGAAGACAAGGACAGAAACCAAATCTCGCTGTCCTGGCACCAGGAGACATGATTGACACTTCATTTCCCATGACTCTGTAAACTGATAGAAAGCAGTGGCTCCTCAGTCGTCAGAAGACGTTTGAAAACCGTGTCGGTCAACATAAGTCTTGAAAGATGCCGACCTTAACGCTTGTGTGGACATTGCTCCGCGGGCCGCCACAGGGACAAGTCAAGGGCTGATGTGTTGTTGTCATGCTGCGTTCGGAGCCCTGCTGTGTCACAGAGTCCTCAAACACAGTAGGCATTTCCTATTCCTGAGTGGGAGAAGAGCAGACCAGTCACCTTTCCCACGGCTTGTTGTAAGGTGCTCCACTGACTTTTGCCACTGTTAAGGGTTCTCTGAAGTTTGGCTTAAAGTATGCACTGGCTAGTAGGACATTCTAAAGTTGTCAAAAATTTTTGCCAAGTACAAGTACCTTCTCTTTTCAAGAATACTTGTTTCTTAGAAAGCATGGAGCATATTATTTCTCCTTTTAAGAAAATTCTTCACAAAAGGATGTCCTCCCATCTTCCAAGTTAGCAGAATTTCTTATGCAGAAAAGGATGCATTTATATATTTTGAAAACCTTTATTAAGTGGTTGATTTGTGATTGAAAGTAACCTGTTTGATTAACTCCAGGTATTTATAAAATTTTCCCCCTTAACAAACATGCTAGGGGCTAGGGTTGTGGCTCAGTGGCAGAGTGCTTGCCTAGCATGTGTGAGGCACTGGGTTGCATCCTCAGCATCACATATAAATAAATAAAAAATAAAGGTACATCAACAACTAACAAAAGTAAAATAAAAATTAAAAAACAAAACATGCTGGATGAAAGTACATGAGCAAAATGTGTTAATGCTCCTAAGGACAAGTTTTGTCAAAGAGGAAGGACAGTGAGAGACCAGCCTTGGGGCCTCCTGTGGGAGTCAGCTTCACTTGAAGGGAGCACCTCTCTTCTGACGTGGGCGTCTGACCTCAACTGAAGTGAATCTGACCATGTAGCTCTGGTGCTTTCAAGAAAATTTGGGCATAATTGACAATGATGGGGGTAGGCTGGGCTTGGTTCATCAAGTGAGGGCTGACAAAAGCTTGTCTTCAGTGGATCCTAAGCTCCATTTGAGATGGGAATCGCCTTGAGACCGTTTGCAAGTGCTGTACCCTCTTGCTTTTGTTTAACTCAGCAACTTTATCCTCTCAGCAAGGTGACTTGTGGATCATGCCTAATGCAGCAACTCAGGATGCTTTTACAAAATTAGAACATAAGTTAGAAAGTAGTTGGCTTGGGGGGAAGTAACACTCTGTCTTTCTGCCAGTGCCATAAGTCTGTGGACAAGGCGAGTCCCGTCTGGATTGTAAGTGAATGAAGGGTGGTCCAGGAGGGAGCTCTGCTAGAGCACCTGAGGGCTGTGTCGTAGGCGGGAGCCTGTGGAGGTCTGCAGGTAGCTGCTGAGGCTCTGGCCAGCAGCCCTCGAAACCACAAACTGCACACTGGTTCAGAGAGTCAGCAGCCCCAAGGACCACAGGTTCTGTTCATTTTGAGCTAGAGACAGTGAAAATGACCTCAAAATCAAATGAGCAAACTTCATGCCATGGGAGGTTATGGAGAGCTACAGGGCAGCCAGCCAGGAGGTGGGGAGCCCTGAAGCCGACCTGCTACACTGGCTCCACCCATCGCAGCTGTGACTTTGGGCTGTTCTTTCTCTCTGCATCTTTTTCTGTTATCCATGCATCAGGGATGATGGTGACCACTGCCTCACAGGCATCATGAGAATCAAGGGCCATCAAATCAAGGACTTCAAGTGATGCCTCTGTGATTGCAGCTCAGTTCATGCTCACGTGGGAATCTGGTGAGTCCAGAAGTCAGATTGGAGCACAGCTGCTTTGCTCTGCCCAGTGCACATGGTGCTGTGAGACGGACTTAGAAATAAGACAGAGCTGAGGCTGGCTGCCCTCCTCCACCCTCTCATGCCCAGGGGGTCAGAAGCCATGGTTTTGTTTGGCCTTACTGAATTTGAGCTTCATGATCAACAGAGACTGGCCTCTTTGATATGATCACATTTTCCTCTGTGGCCATTTTCTTTTTTTTTTTTTTAAATTTTTTAGTTGTTGATGGACTTTTTTATTTTATTTTTTTTAAGAGAGAGAGAGAGAGAGAGAGAGAGAATTTTAATATTTATTTTTTAGTTTTCGGCGGACACAACATCTTTGTTTGTATGTGGTGCTGAGGATCGAACCCGGGCCGCACGCATGCCAGGCGAGCGCGCTACCGCTTGAGCCACATCCCCAGCCCCCTCTGTGGCCATTTTCACAGATGGTTCTCATAAATATTCTGACATATGAAGTAATACAAATTCTCTATTTGAAGGATATAACTTTTACTATTTAAGATATAATTTTTGGTGATTAATTTTTGGTGATTACTTAGTTTTTCTGTGTCCTTGTTTAAAATTGTCAAATTTTAAGAGATAAATAAAAATCTTCCACAATATTTTTGTTTTAAACAAGATTTTCAAAATGCGAAAAAAATTTGCTTTAGAGCTATATCGAAACTTAGGATTGTTATATTTTCTTTGTAAATTGTGTCTTTTGCCCTTTTATCTTAACTGTCACTTTGCCCGGGATCATCTTAGTTTGCAGATGCTGGTGTTGGCCCAGGTGGGTCCGTGAGTGAGCCCTCCGGGGTGACCAGTCTAAGCCTTGTGCGAATGACTTTGGCATCTTTCTGAAGCATTTTTCAGGCCTAATACTGGAAAGTGTCATTTGTGTTGGAGGTGGGGGTCGTCATCTCCTGGGACACCTGCTACTGTCCCTGCAGGCTCCTCCCCTGGAGCTCAATTGTAACTCGCACTGTTCCCCGGGGACTGAGGACACCAAGGGGTGGCTCGTGGAGTCGATCTGTTGATATTTGGCATTTGGTGGTAAGAAGGTTTGAGTGTGATTCTCCCTATTTCGGTGTTTGGCGTGCTGCTCTGCTCATCCTCTGGCTATCCGGGTAATAGGAGAGTCCTCCTCCTTGCGTGCCACATGAGAGGTGGCCTGGAGCTGGCTTGAAAGGAGGCAGGCATCCTAGGCAGGAGATGGAAATGATCTTGACCTTAGAAGCCCCGCCTACTGCAGGACCTCCCTTCTGCGGCCCTCACTGTTCTTATGGTGAGAAACAGGGTATGATGACTTTCTTTTCTCTTTCCTTTGAGGAACAGGAGCTGTTTGTGTTCTGGTCTGTTTCCTTCATGTCCTCAGATTGAATGTGTGTGGGATGGCTTTTGGGTGTTGGAGGCTCCACTTCAGTCCAGAATTCAGAATGGACAAGACGTCCATTGTCGTGCAGATCTTAAGTTCCTTCTGTCAACCCTGCTTTATTAGCAGCAGAGCTAATAACCTATATATAGAACTGAATCCTGTCTCTGAACTGGCTCTCCACTGAGGCCGGGCCTTACAGTGCCGATTATGCCAAGGGATAGACAAGGACCTAGTTTGCAGTGTGACTCTGAACTGAGAAGAGAGGAGGGCTGGCGTGTGTTTCAGTGGTGTAGTGCTTGCCTAGGATGTGTAGGCCCTGGGCTCCATCCTCAGCACACCACAGCAAGTGCACAAAAGCATACACATACTGAAAGCTTCGGCACAGGACTGAGTTTCAGCCCTGGCTTCTCAGCTTCACTGGGTTCATGCCTGACCTGTCCTCTGGTCGAAGCCCTGGCTCTGCTTCTGTGTCATTTCAGCACAGAGTTCTCCCATAGAAACACATGGAAGCTGCAGAATGTTTGTTCAGAAGATGACCACGGGACTGTTGTATTTATAATGTTGTTTGTAGGCTGTGTGAGTTAGCATTTTCTTCTCTCTCTCTGGAAATAAAATCCCCCAAGAAGAAGGAAGGGATGACAAATTCCATTTTCCAAGAAATAGACAGATGCAGTTCGTGGACTTTGTGAGATGCGTAAGGCCTCCCACACAGCCAGTACTGGTAGAAATACCATAGGCAGACTGAGCAAATGTGCTTGGGTGGCAGAGACTCACCACCCGCTGCTGCATGAGGAGCCCTGGGTACTGG